ATTTACTGACTTCTGTATCTTTAAGTTCTCAACTAAAGCATTTCAGTAAAATATTTGCTCATAGTTAGTAGACATTTCAAAAGCTGGCCCAACTTAAAAATTTAGGATTTTCCCTTTAAAAAAAAAAAAAAAAAGAAAGAAAAAAAAAAAAAAGCAGCAAGTAAGTAATGCAAGGCTGCTAGGTTTTTTTAGTATAGGTTTCCTATTCGAGCACTGCATGCACAATATAGTACTATTGTCTACTTTCTGCCTTCTTCCTGAGATAAACATAGGTTACACTGAGGCTTAAATGGCTTTACTGGCACACAAGCAATTCAGATCAAGTGATACTCTATTGTAAAATAAAACTCCTTTTTCCCCCTAGGTTCTCTGGAGAGACTTAAGTAACAAATTTGATATTGACTAAAATCTGTGTAGTGCCAAGCCATTAATAAGCTAAATTCTGCCTACAATACAAACTGATGTTTATATCTTGCACTCTGCATACATTTAAAGAGGGAGAACTAGCTATTTGCCAGGAATCACTTAAGGCACAGACTGCCACCTAGTGATTTCAATGACAACATACAAATATGAAATGCTGCAAGAAAGACAAGAAAAAGAGTTAAAGCCTTCTATTTCAAGAAAAAGCTGGAAATATCTTCGTATTTTCACATCACATTATTTTCTGCAATCATGTATTGCTATGTTGCTAGCAAGTGAAAAAACCTTTTAATAACACAACTTTGTTCTCTCAGTCCCAAGCTCATCAAATGCCTCATTTACATGCACTACCTGGGGCTCCTCTTCTCCAGTTGCATCCTCTACCATAAAACTCCCTTGCACTCAACATCAACCATTCTTGCCAGTCTTTAATAAAATATCTTCTTACTCAAATCTCATATTCAGTATTCCATCCTTGTCCACTTTGATCTTTCAAGCAACTTCAGTCAGACTGCAAGAATTTTCAGCTTGGAACTTGAATTTTGAATGCCTCTGACTTCCAGTACTCCATCCCCTGCCAGTTCTCCTCTTACCTCTCTAACTTTTCCATCTGTATGCTCCTTGATGAATCCTCCTGATCCTCTACTCCAGCTCTCTGTGAGGGTCCTACATGATCTATCTTTGGTCCCTGGCTATTCTTCCTAGATAATCTCATCCGCCAACAAATCCAACTGTCTCTATGTGGATGACTCACAGGTCTAACTCTGTACTGCAAACCAGGCATCTCTCCTTCAAGACTAGATCACAGCCTGTTTCTGTCCAGTTCTCTCCTCAAAAAAGTTAACATGATCAAAATAAACTCTCACAAAAGCACTCTACTATTCTACTCTACTGTTCAGACTCCTAAGTTCAACTCTAGGTTCACATTTTTACACTGTCTATACTATATCTAGCCATAAAAATATAAACAACATGCACCTCACAAAAACCATGCCCATATCCATTCAGAAATCCAAGTATCTGCCAAGCCTATCACTTTGACCACATCACCTCTCTGTCCGAGTCCCTCATCAACTCCCCTTCTATATCAAAACCACCAGAAGCCTTCCACAGCCTCTCCTTTCCCTGCCCATCACAAACTTTATTCAGTAATAATAGGTCTCTTTCTCCTCCCACCCATCAGATAGTCCCTATCATCTGTTTGTTAACTTTTGAAATAAGCACTTCCATATTCTCTTCCACATAACCCCTCACACTTGGGGCTTAATCCTTGCAAACATGTGCAAAGCCACCCCATTATCCTTATATGCCTTATTAATCAATTCTTTGCCAGGACATCTACAGAAGTCTTGACAAGGATTAGGCTGCTTGCGTGCTATGGCTACTGCCCATCACGCTGACCACTCTTGTCACATTATTTCCTTGTGCTCCTCCACCTGTATCCATCTGCTGTCTTAGACTGTAAGCTCTCTGGGGCAGGAATCATCTTTCTGTGGTGTCTGAACAGTGCCTAGCACAGGAAGGTCCTGGGTCCATGGCTGGTGTTCCTAGGTATAACAGTAACAAATATTATTAAAATAATATCAATGAGCATCAAAGGAGATAATAAGACCCTGTATATGCAAAAAAAAAGTAGTCAAAACCTTACAATTAAGGGATGTATAAAGGCTAAGATATTCGCTTGAGAATCCTCTGTTCCCGTTTGTCATTCTCACAGCAACCAACTGCAGTATCATAAAGACCTTATTTTGATGCAAAAACTATATTCATGCTAAAAAGGTTTTCCATAATATGAAGCACTAGCAAAATTGTCTTAGAGACAAGTCCTGAAGCCTAACCAACCCACTAAATGTTAAAAAAATGTGGACCTGGGGGGGTGAGGGGGAGGACATAAAACAAAGAGGATAAAGAAATATGCAGAATCACAAGAGTCAGAAAGTGGCTGTAAATGGACCTTGCATTTCTCCCAGGAGAAAAAGCCTGCTGTCCTGGGATCCTACAGACAGACATTTACACCCACTGCCTGAAACTTCAGAACCTGTGAAGAATGCCAGACCAAAAAAAACTGCTAAACAGGTCCCATTCTGCATCCCGCCCCCAATCACTATGTCCAGATGTAAAGCCATAAATAGATGTCTCATTTGAAGGCAGTCCTGATTCTCCCAGGTTTTGACTCCCATCAAAGCAGAAGTGGCACAGCCCTCAATGCACAAAGACCTTTCAAGCTGAATTGATGCTCCTCTGCCAGTTAGTGGCCAAGGAGAACATAGAAGTTGACAGGCTTGTCCCTGTAATGAACCAAAATTAAGTTAAATAAGCAGCAACTAACTTAAGATAACAGTATTTCCTCTGTGTGCGTTATTTCATCCAGCATATTTTACACATACTTGACGCAGGACAATGGGTGTGGATTCTGTAGGACACCAGGACAAAAGTCTCTCAGTGCAACCTCTATTTACAGCCTAAGTTGTTTAACTTAACTGTGGTTCATTACAGGGGCAAGCCTCTCAGGCTGCGTCCTCACCCTAGCCACCTACTGACAGAGATGCAGCAATACAGCTTGGAAAGGCTACATGTGTAAAGGGCCATAACTCCTATTTTGATTAGGCTCAAGAGCCAGAACCCTCAGGCCCTCCACATCTGAGATTCTTTTCTCAGAAGTGATTCTCAGCGCAGGTGCCTGAAGTGCAGAGAGACCTTCCATGTTGTGAAATTAGCAGCGTTAATACTAAACCATGTGCAAACGCAATTCACAAGACATATTCCTATTTGAAATCTCTGGGTTATGGTCTTAAGAACTTTCTAACTTTATTGTGGTTGCTTCAAGTTTTTCAACAGAATAATTGCTGTAGTCCAAAAAAAAAAATCAAAACTAATAACTGACATTTCCTGAGGGGTGCCTTGAGCACCGAGGATGGATTCTGTCTGGAATGACTGCTCTCAAAAATGCCATGAAAGATGAAAGTTGTATGGCACACTGTATAGAATATCTTGACATTATCAGCAGAAGCTGTTAAAGAAACCACACACCTACCCACCACCCCATCCTGTAGTGCATAACCAAAAATGACCAATTAATGAATTTTAATTGTTCAGAGAAAATTTAGAAAGGACTTGTGAATACCTGAGAAAAAAACAACAGAGCTTAACAAAACATAAGAGCCTGATTCTTCCCTCACGTGTTAATTAGAACTGACATTTAATTGCACCAGTGTAAAGATGAAAAGAATCAACTGCCTATTCCTCACCTTTCTCTTATACGATTGAAAAATTCCAAGTCCCAATTCCAAAAACTTACTAAAAACAAACACCCACCTCCCCAGCCTTCCAGCCGGGACCAAACCCGCCCCCCCACAAACAAACAAAATGTTGAGCATACATTCCGTTTCAGAGATTCAAACAGCACTGCTGATTCCCTGCTTGCCCTCACCCCCTTCCCTTCAGTAATAGTTATGACTTCTGAGTGATTTAAATAATCTCCTTTCCGCTACTGAGTCTAACTTCAAATTCATCTAAGGACCAAGGTGAAGTAGTTAACTAACATCTTAATTTTCCATACTTCCTCAGTTCTTGTAGGTTAAGAAATGTTACAGTAATTTGTTACAAAACTGTAACGATTGTTTTCTTAAACTCCTGTACATCAGGCCAGAAATCAATGTTATTTAAATTGTTCATTTAGAAAAGGGTTTAAAAACCAAGTTTACTATAACTCCCCGTTTCTGTTCCATTATAGACATAATGTGTAACTAAGAGTTATCTTTTCTGTTTGCTAAAGACATACAAGTGGGAAAAGTGATTGAATGGTTGCTAGCTGTGGGTAAATATAGATCATATCTGATCTAATTGTAGATCATATAACTCGAAGATCTAAGTTATGACAGGCTACCACACCCCTTTGGCAAATCAGTGATTGTTGAAAACAGAGTTAAGCATCATGAGGCCTAATTCAGTAATTTGAAAATTACAATTCATAAAACAAAGTACTGTAGTAAAATTGCATTCAAAACAATTTCCACCTTCAACTATATCAAAATAAAGATGCAAACATATAAGCCCAGAAATATGGAGGTGATATGCCTATCTTCAGACTAACATGGCTAATGGTAGGGCAGGATATTACCTTAAAAGTCTATTCGTAGGGCTAGGTTGTTCCTACAAAAGCTCATGCCTCTGAATTAATATGTAAAGGTGCCCATACATAAGCCTAGGGGCTGCTATGACATGGTGTAATTACAGTGGATTAATTGAATCTGCTAGAGCACGCCAGCCTCCACTTCTCATGTATCGGAATCCCCACACTTCAAAAGAGAGGCAGGGGCACTTCATCTAAAGCTCGTCGAACAAGTTTTAGTTAAAGCGCCCTTGCTGCTATTCTGCAGCGCAGGTACCCCAATGCACAAGATGCTTCGAGTACCTTAATTAGAGCAGCTCTAGGAGCTGCTCCAATTAAAGCACCCGGTGCTAACCTCCCCCGCCTTCTGCAGATAAGCCCTAACAGTATGATTCCCTCTCTAGATTCATGACTGAGGGATGGATATAAAAATCTAACATTGGTTATGGAGGAGCAGCTAACTCACCATATTTGTCTCGTAAGCCAACAGTACACCGGAAGACTCCACCAAAGGCTACATCTTCACCAAATATTACTGGGGGGGAAAAAAAAAGACATTACAAAGTGTCTTATTTAGGAATGCAAACAGACCAGTCTTATATGTAGGAATATGCAAGTATTCCTTTTTATTCTATGTTAACCATTTATATGTAGTTATTGTAAAATTTGGGAAAGGATTAACTACAATTTTAGTTTACATATTGTATGTTTGAATGTTAAATGTTTTAGCAATAATTTTTAAACACACTAAAAGAACCCACACATTCCAATTACTGAGGAGACAACACTGTGAAATGCAACAACTGTATGAAAAGCAACTGAGTTATAAAGTTTCAATCTACACAAGTGTTTTAAGAATATATCAACAACACAGATCAAAGAAGTCCATCCAGATTTCCCTTTCTACCTCTTGCACTTTTAGAGACTCAGGAACTATTTGCTTCACATAAACAACCTAAGTCATCAAAAGTGTCCATGCAATCTATGGTCTATAATAGAATGATTAAAATTGTTCTAGCTCATATTTACTTATTTTGGAAGCAAGCCTGTCATGCCACTACACCTAAGTTAATACAAACCAATATTCAATTCCAAAGAGAGAGAAATGTATACCGTTTACCAGATGTCCAATGAACTTAAGAGTTCCAATTCAATTTTCCATTTTTTCCTCTTGATTAAAAAGAATCCAGTAGAAAAGACTGCAATCTTTGCCTTCCTCTACCTCCCTGGCCCTCCAACTTTCAGTGAATTCAGTTATTATGTATTTCTCAAAAACACTAGAAATCATCTCCCCAAATGTCAGTCCAAGAACGAAGCAAACGCTTCCACACATTCCACCACTGTGCTTTAATCTAAGGCAAAAGGACCTCCCTCTATGGAAGGGGGTAGTCCAATAATTAGACTACCAACTGTGCAAATTCAGTATTCACTATTTGTTATGTGGTCCGTCTGTCCACTGGGAGTATAATGGACCTTTAGTAGTTAAACACAAATTTTAAAAACAATCTAAGCCATGCTTTTTTAACAGCAAAACAAAAGTAGTGATGTAGAAACAACCAACGGAATGCCTCCAATCTGTTTTTCTAGATGTCCTTGTTGGTTGGCTAGTGCGTGTGCGTACGCTATGAAAACCTTTTCACTATAACATGGTTACTAGTTTTGTACTAGTTAGCAGTATGATGGGAACAGATGTTTCCTATGCTAGTACACATCTACATCTGGTTACAACATCTGGCTCTGAGCTGCCTGCTGCTGGCACTCATGCAGCCTCTGGACATAGGGTGAGCTAAGGCAGCAACAGCCACAGTAGTGACAGTGTACGGCCACCATCTCTACAGCCACCTTTCACAGACATCCTAGATGTGCTCTGCAGACCATGGTTGAAAATGACTGGTCTAAGGGGTCTACGAAAGATGACTGCAATCAATGAAAAGCATGTGAATACCAACACTTACAATTCAAAGTGGTCAGCACCTCCATTAAAAAAAAAAAAATGGTTTAGGGGTCTGCAAGCAAAAAAGAGGTTGAAAAA